AAAGGCCCTAGCTGCCTCCACCTTCTTGAATATTGACTGGGATCATAGTTGTTGGACGCTGGAGTGGGATCCGGAGCAAGATTGGCTCGGGGAACAGTAAACCGCCATAGGGTAAAAGCTCCCTGGGGTTAGGATCGACGTCTGTACGTTCAATAACTTAAGGAGCTAGATTCTAGAATACCTGGGAGCGAGATCCCATGTCACTGAGATCGAGGTTTTGGCTTGGAGAGATCTAAGCTCCACTATACATAAACGGGATCAATCAATAGTAAATAATAAAATTAGGATTGAGCCAATGCGTGCTCGATCATTTATCACACACCTTAGCTTATTACTAATGTCATAGTTATAGTCTCCAATTTACTACAATAATGCAGTTTAATAATATCACAAATTAACTTACTATGATCTTATAAATTATAGTTTTTTAATACCATAATTCCAGCATACCACAATATGATATGCGCCATAGTTTAACATATTCTAAAGAGGTAATTCTATAGTACCAAGGAGATGAGCAATAGTTCAATTGATAGCAAAGCTGCTCTCTTTAGAGGGAACCTACAACATTTACACCGATATCCCATTTGATAGGGAGCGAGATCCCTAAACCTGGCTCCCTCTAAGATCCCTTAGATGAACCACGGGATAGAGTTACTACGGTGGGACCGTGGCCCCACACCTAAGGTTCCCACAACTCCGGCTGGGATTATACAGTAAAACCTCAAATATTGTCAACTATTTTTAGTTAAAGGTCCCCATACAGAATCCTTACAAGACAACTACCGCAGTAGAGACATTGACAACTACGATATTCAAATAACGTTTCGGTGAGGATTGAACCGATTAACATGAATCGATTGTGTTATTATAGTAGAAATAATAAAGATTACAACACGATATAATAGAATGATCCAAATTGATTCCCAAGTAAATTCTAAGAAAAGATATCAAATCCGATATCCAACTCATATAGGTAGCACTGATTGTTAAATGGATGATACAATGTTTTCAATGCATCTCCCCGAAAATTCTTCTCAACATGAGAACACAAACGTAAATCATGACTAAAAAGTATCTCATAGAAAAAAATTATCATCATCATCTCCGAGCCTTATCCCAACTATTTGGGGTCGGTTACGAGATTTGGCAAAGTTTTACACTGGTTGCCTACTTAATACAACCCTCCTCCTTAACCAGGGCTTGGGACCGGTGTGACCGGCTTAGGACCGGCCAAGGCAGAGTTTGAAGAAAAAATTGATATGAATTGTTGCTTGTCGCTATCAACATACTAGAAAACAATAGGTGGCACCTAAATTGTGAGGTGGCCGGGATGCCTGTGTGGCGACATGGAGGTCATGACTGCCAAATAGAAAAAAATTTAAAACAAATAAAATATGCCACTAAAAAGTATATATGTTTTGTAACTATGAAAAAAAAACTACTAAAATCAGATATAAATGAACACATTTTATAGCAATGCTAAATCACATGCTTGGAAGGTAGTTCATTATGTTGTTAAAAAAGCCATGCAACTTAAGCGTTAGCAAGTGTAGGTGTCAAATATATATATATATAAACACACACACACATAATATATACAAGCAAATTTATCAAAATATTATATATTTCCAAAATATTTTTCATATGTATTCATATGTACATATATATGTTTAAATTAGTGTATGTATAAATATAAGTGTGTGTGTAAGTGTGTGTACATATGCCCAACACGGATCCAACTCGAGTCCAGGGCTTTGAACCTGGACCCCACCCACCAGGTCCAAAACTTGGATCCAAACCCGAACCCGGATCAGGTCAACCCGCCAGGTCCTTGGATGGATCCGACCCAATTGCCACCCCCTAGATACACAATTGAACATTTACATACCATATTAGCACTACCAACTGCCAATGTTTAGTTATGATTCATCCTTTCTGCAGAAGTAATCTTTCCTAATTTGAAATATTTAAAATGAGATTTTGGGTCAATTTTTACCAAAAAATGGCCTTGAGAAGCAACCTCCCCCAAACACCCTCCCTCTCCCCCCATCCCCCCCTAAAAATAAAGACATGTTCCCCATTTAAAAAACTTGCCCCCCCGGTCCATACCCGAGGCAAGCAAAGCAAGGCGAGGCTCTAGGCACGACAAGCCTCCTAAGGGATCATAACAGTCCCCCAGTTGGCTGCCAGTACGTGTAGCATGAGTGTATTTGTTCCGTGCCACCTCTAGCTAACATCAAAGTGGGCATCTAGACAGGTTTCATTCGCCCATACTTGTTAGAAATGACTGAGATTTTGAATCGACATAGGAAATGAAATCGCGGAATCGCAAGTGGCTATAAAATTCCAATTATCAGAATCATGCACGTAGAAGGAGAATTGAAGAAAACGAAATTCCTACTTTATTAGAATCGATTTTCAACCCAAATGTGATGTAGGGAGTAGATAGAGAGCAGTAAAATCAGCAAAGAGTAAACCAAACCCCAAGCCAAAAAGCCTAAGCTTCTTCTTTCTTCAATTTTGGAAAATCACGACGAAGAACACCCTCAAGGCTCCACGCACCTCTTATATATTATAATTTAATATTCAACAACATTAAATGACCTTTCAATAATTAAAATGACCAAAAAAGTCCTAACTTAAAAAAAATATTGTAATGATAATTTTACCCCTGTGAACAGTAACCCAAGAACGATATCCACGAATAGTACCCACGAACAGTATCCATTGAATAGTAAATAAAAATATGAAAAGATGCTAGAATCCCTAAAAAACTTAAAAACCCTAAAAATAAACTTTAAAACTAAAATTAAAATATACATTCTTTGAGATTAAATATAAATTGAATATAAGAATAATTTTTCCTGCATCATTCTCCCCTGTTGGAAAAAACTCATCATTGAGTTTTGAAGTAGGCTAAGATAAATTTGGCATTAGTTCCACAATCATCTTCAACCCAAACATTATACATCAAATCGATAGACTTGGGGCTTATTGTCCCAATCAAAATACAACAATATGCATTACGACTGGGGTTTTGAACTAAATTAATATATTCATAAATACTTTAGAGAAACCCTCGAGCACTGTATATCGATAGAGTCTATTTAGCCACATAAACTTGCTCAAATTGCATCAATTCAACCGTATAACCTTGATGAAATTGCCTATGCTCAGCTCCATAACATATAACAAGTGCAACTTCGAGATGATCGCGATCATCACATAACCAACACCTTCATCTATGGATTCTCCTTGGAATCCTTAATCTTTTTCTTCGTTAAAGATCGGTTCCAACCACAAAATCTTGTTCATCATCATAGACCGGATCTCCTACAATATCTTGTACTACATCTACGTATGCATCGAAAATTGATAACAAATCCCACTCTACAACCTGTTGATTTCTGATAGAACCTATGACAAAAATTGAGAATATCCTTCAAATTGAAAACCCTAGAGTGATGTTTCCCATGCCTAGGTCTTCTATCACTTTCTTCTTCACTCAATTCTTCATGCGGAGCATGGAGTTCAAAAGGGTGATGCTCGACATC